AGTTCCATTGCGTTTCAAGTGAAGCCCATTCCACAGGTGGAGTTACCTCTTTTCCCAATACTAGTGCTGGTACCCAATGAATTGTAACCCATTTCTCCAACACCAATCTTTAGACCTATGAATTCAGTATTAATTTTATTTGTTCATGGCTCAGGTAATAATCCAGAGATTATTACACGTGTGTCTGTTTTTACTTAGCTGTTCATACTCTCTCAACAAAACGTCTTTCTATGGTACCGATGACATAGGTGAGACTAAGTAGATGATGACAATGGGATCCTTCTCCTCCCATTCCAAATTCCTGTCCAGACCCAAGGTGATGTTCCTAACTCTGGCACTTGCAGGCAGCAGTGCAATCTTTGGAATGTGCTCTTGGTTGTTTCAAACAATATCTATCCCTACAATTGTATTGTTTGCTTCTATTACTACAATCCTCTTTACTTCCCCATATCATTGCCCTCCTGGCCAGTTGTACTGTTTTCAATTTCCTCATCCTCCCTGCATTGTATGTTGTCATTCGCACATGCTGCAAGAAACCTGGATCTGTTGAATAAGGACTGAAGCTCCTCCAATGCTATATGCTGGATCCCCATTTCTGCCTCATTCAGTCATGTCCCCTGTCCCTGACCACTAACTAAATCTTTATTTACTAAACCTAAGGGATGTGACTACCTTCTGAGAAAAATTGTTTGGGTGATTTTCTGCCTTGTTCATGCATTGCAGAGTCTGAAGCTCGTCAACTCTGACCTGAAATTCCTTGGGCTACAGACACTTGGTGCAGATATGATTTACTGTGGATCACACTGATCCTCTAATTCCTACAAGTTACAATTGCAAACCATCTTCCTGTATGTGTGTTTCATTGTTTAAAAAGCACAGAACAATTATTTGTGGTTATAGTAAGTGTTTAACCAGTTAGGATATAAATATAACACACTGCTTTAAGCTTCCTGGTATTTGATTTGATTTATTATTGTTACATGTACTGAGATACAGTGAAAAGTATTGTTTTGTGTCCTATACAGACAAATCGTACCTTACATAAGCACATCAGGATAATAGAACAGAATGCAGAATATAGTGTTACAGCCACAGTTAAAGTGCAGAGAAAGATCAACTTTAGTATATGAGAGGCCCGTTCATAAATCTGATAACAGCAGGAGAGAAGCTGTTCTTAAATCTGTCGGTACACGTTTTGAAATTTTTTTATCTTCCGCCCGATGGTAAGGGTGGAGGAAAGTATAACTGGGGTAGGAGGGATCTTTGATTACATTGGCTGCTTTCCCAAGGCAGTGGGAAGTGTAGATGGAGTCAATGAAAGGCAGGCTGGTTTCTGTGATGGATTGGACTCCGTTCACATCTCTCTGTAATTTTTCATGGCCTTGGGCAGAGCAGTTGCCATCCCAAGTTGTGATGCATCTGGGTAGGATGCTTTCTATGGTGCATCTACGGAATTTGGTAAGAGTCGTTGTGGACATGCTGAATTTCCTTTGCCTTCTGAGGAAGTAGAGGAGTTTGTGTGTTTTTTTGACTGTAGTCTCGACATGGATGGACCAGGATAGATCATTGGTGATATTTACTCCTAGGAAATTGAAGCTCTCGACCACCTCTGGCCTCGGCACCATTCGTACTGACAGGGCATGTCCTCCACTCTATTTCTTGAAGTTGATGACCAACTCCTTTGTTTTGCTGACATTGATGGAGAGATTATTGTCTTTACACCATGCTACTAACCTGTTTATTTCCTTCCTGTACGCTGTCTCATTGTTTGAAATCTGACCCACCACAGTGGTGTCATCAGCAAATTTGTAAATGGAGTTGAAACTGAATTTGGCCACACAGTTGTGAGTGTATAAGGAGTATAGATAAGGAGCTGACTACGTAGTTTTGCGAGGCAAGGTTTTTGCAGATTATTGTGGAGGAGGTTTTGTTGCCTGTACTCACTGATTGTGGTCTGCGGGTCATGAAGTCGAGGATCCAGTTGCAGAGGGGGGAGCAGAGTTCTAAGTCTTGGAGTTTGGAGATGAGTTTTGTTGAAATTATGGTGTTGGAGGTAGAGCTAAATCAATAAATAGGATCCTGTCGTAGGTGTCCTTGTTATCCAGAAGTTCCAGGGACGAGTGTGGGGCCAGGGATATGGCATCTGACATAGACCTGTTGCAATGGTAGGTGAATTGTAGCGGATCAAGGCAATCCAGGAGGTTGGAGCTGATGTGTGTCATTACTAACTTCTTGAAGCACTTCGTAATGGTAGATGTCAGAGCCACTGGGTAGTAGTCATTAAGGCATGTTGCCTGATTTGCCTTTGGCATTGAGATGATTGTTGTCTTCTTGAAGCAGATGGGAACTTCACATCGTAGTAAGGAGAGGTTAATGATGTCTGCAAATACTCCTGCCTGCTGGTCTGTCTTAGTTTGATCTGCTGAGCTGGTTTAGAGAAAAAGAGTACAAGGCCACCAATCAACCTACTCACCTAATTTATGTATTATACTTCAGGTTTAAGATTTTGCTGTCTCTCATCTTAACTTTCAGACTGCTTACCATCTTGTTTCAACAATAAAGCAGAATGGTATCTCTTATCTCACTGCACCAAATGTCTAATTGAAGTACTCTTTCTAAGCTGTGCTCCATCAAGTTGGCCTCCATATTACTTATTCTTTGCATTAGCAATAGACCCTCTACATGTGTTCATATAACAGCAAGAATTCCAAAAACCTGAAGCAGCTACACTAGCTTTGACTAACACTAAATTAATTGTAAATTAATATTAGAGTTAAATACTAAGTGCAATATTCACTTTAAAGAGACATCAATCTTTGGAACACTTAAAATCTCTCACTCACAAAATGCTAAGCCCTCTGCAGAGTCCTATTGAGCTGGGCTGTAAAACTCTACTTCCTAATCTGGGTAATTACGTGCAGGTTTGAGGGAGTGCTAGTTTTCTGTCATTTGGAAGAAGAACTACGTACCTGTTCAGAGGGATGTAAAATTGCAAGGCACTTATGAGGAATAAGAACAAGGGAGATCTTTTGTTTCAAACATTTACCTCTCAAACAACACCACAAACTGAAGTGGCTAGTAATAATTGACATGACAATGGTAAATAAAGATATATGCAATAATTCAAGATTCTAGTTAAAATGTTTGGAAAAACAAACTGAATTTTCTTTTGTGTCAATATAGTGTGGAACCTCGACTTTCCTGCTCCTCTGATGCTGCCCGACCTGCTGTGTTCCTCCAGCTCCACACTGTATTGACTCTGATTTCCAGCATCTGCAGTTCTTGCTACTTCCTAGTCGCTGAATTTTTTTAACTTAACTTTTTAAAAGGTTAATGAAATTTAGATTTATTTCCTAATGAAAATTAAATGCCACAGGTGGTGCTTGTTTGTGAACTATTCAAAATAAAAAAATTAGTTATTTATTGATAAATGTAATTGGTTACCTTGGGGTAATGTCCTAGCCCAACTGTAATAATCTGCTTCACCAATAACATTCAAAATCTTGAAATTCCTTCCTAAGACACAGTAAGTCTACCTACACCAGATGAACAGCAGTGGTTCACGAAGTCTTCTCATCATCACTTTCTCAAGGGCAGTTAGGGATGGCCATTGAAAGCTGATCGGATAGAATAGGCTCAAAATGGCAATTTGGGTGGAAGGACCTCTTCCATCTCAGAAAGAATCCTGTGGAGTTCCTGTCAAAATCTTTGTGGTTGAGAACAGGACTTTATGGTGGGTGTCGTCCTTCTGAGCACAAGTTAAACCTAATTGGGGAATCTCATCCGTTTGTCATGCTCGCTCTTGCATCACTGTAATTATGTGCCGGAAGTGAACAGAAGGAAATATTGTAAAGATGAATATAAATGAAACCTGTTTTAAGTACATGCCTATCTCACTCCAAACATCGCATTTCAGTGTGTAGGTTTGTACCTATTTAACTGAAATGTCTTTTGAAAGGAGCCTGAAGTCATGACCAAACGGGAAGGAAAGAAGTAGGTACAAACACTACAAAGGTAAACTACCAATGGCTAAACAGTTTACTAAAAAACAAGGAGAAGGGTTCCCAATCAAAGAAGTAGAAAATTTCCAAAGCCTGAAGTAGGATCTTTAAAGAAGACGTTAAAAAGATGAAACAAAATTCAGTGCATCAGATGGTCAGAATGTAGTTGTGTCGTGATGAGGTGTGGGGTAACTAGTTTATATCAGAGGATACAGTCCGGTGGGGGTTGATTGGGTCAGAGAGGAGATGGTATGTAAGGCTGAAATTAGTTGGGTGGTTGAGGGGATGATCTGGTTCGGTCAAGAGAGGTAGTTGGGTCCATCTGGGGACTGGTGGGGAGCTTGTGTTATTCTTTTCATGTGGCTGATTGGATGGATGGGGGGAATGCTTGAGTATGTGGAGGGTATTATGAGTTTGGAGATAGTTGGGGTGCTAGTTGGAAAGGTAATGCAGGTAATAAGGGGTCAGGTAGATAGAGTTGGGAGTTCTGGTTAGGTGTGGTGTGTAGCTTCAGGCGGGTGCTTGTGGGAATTGATTATGTAGCTACCCAGGCGTAACACCAGATTTTAATGTCAAACTGTTCCTGGGAAATATCAAGATAAGTACCCTGGAATTTTTCAAAATCTTTGATTATATCTCCGAATCTGAGACGTTCATGTATAATGCTGGGCACAGGTGGGGAGTAATGTCCATGAGAAATTTAGACTTCCCAGGTAGTTCGTACATATGTCCATGCATCAGGCTTTCCACAGGGTTCCCATGTGCATCTCAAATTACTCCTCAATCTCCAATGATCTACAGACTGGAAGATTTAGTTCAATGTTTTAATAAATCTCCTCGAAATAAGTTCAACTCATTGTTTACTATTATTTGTAAGTGCCCAGGTATTAAACTTATACAATATATAAAAAAAACAACCTTTTGAATAAGAAACTATAATTTTCATGATCAATGACCTTTATCATAATTGACCTTAGTTTTGAGAAAGTTACAGCTGAATGGAAACAATCAATTGCCCGTGCCGTCCTCCAGCTAACAGCCAGCCCCTGTTGCAAATTGTTGCCAGATAATCTGAAAGATGTATTCCAAACATATATCAGAATACTTGTTTATTGTAGTTTAATTAAAAAAATTCATTAACAACATGCTGGGACATTTACTGAAACAAAAAAGCTTGAGAAGATTCAATTTACTCAGGAGTGAAGTTCAAGTTGGGTATCTCATTGTTTGAATACCAAACATTTGTACTTGCTTCCAAAATTTGCTGAAGTTTTTCAACAGTGCACATCTACTACTATTTTGTGAACACATATTAGTAATACTGAATAGAATAATGTTGAATTACAAGCATGCAAGCAGCATTGCACTTACCATTAAGATTTAATGATGAATGAGAGATGGGCATTTATAACTCAACTCTTGTACAGAACAAAAGCTAATTAATAAAATAACCATATGGAACAACAAGATATTGATAACGTAAGATTGGTACAAGAGGTTTAGACTATTTCCTAAATTAATTGTTTTGAATTTTGGGGATACATTTTTTACCATTGAACCATTTTAAACAATGGTACTAAAATAATTGTATACATTTAAGTTTGAGAATCAGACTTAGCCAAATTTGCTGCTGATGGGTTTTTAAGATTGTAATCCCGCAGTTCAGATCTCCTGCTGCTGAATATACTCATAGAGTTAGCTCTGTGTTTTACCTTTTTAAACAAATTCCTTTCTCACAAGAAAGTCTCTTTGTAGGGGAAATTGAGACTCTTCAACGTAACGTGAAGATTACTTCTGTTAAACTGGCTGAAAGCTTACATATGAGTCAGAGTTCCTTTGGTAAGGCTATTATAAGTGGTCCAGCAGTTTGCATAATAAATATTTTCGATCACTGATGGTTAGGAGGAGAGAAAGAGAATTTTATTTTTTATTGGTTTTCAACCAAAAGAATTAACTCTTGTTGAAAAATTGTTCCACCCGTACCTCGGACAAATGGTCTTTCTTAGTGTGGGACACCAAACAGGAAGTACTGATGGGCTGTTTTGCAACGGGACTCGTATTTCAATCCAATCCTGTTCTCTTATGAATCAAAACAGACACATCCTCAAAAAGGGCCTTTTGGGATATGAAAAAGAGTGGGAATCCTGTTTGCGATAATGTCTGAATACTGTTTTTAACTGAAAGCAATTGTAGCTCCTTCAAAACTGTAGATCAAACACAAAGTCTAGAGAAGTGACAGGGTATCACTGGCGTGCATGTGAAACCTCTTAATATGTCTTTGATGTCTGCACGAAACACCATATAGGTCAGGAAAGTGAGTGGATCAAAGGTAAATCCTTATGGAATTCCAGAGTTAGTGGACAGGGGCAGGAAGAGACACTATGTAAGGAGATGATCTGGTTACAATCATATATTTAAGAGTGGAACTAAGCAAGAGAATTCACACACATCTACACAGTGAAGAGGTGCTTCATTAGAGGAAATTGATCTGACCTGCTGTGTCAGAGGGTGAGGAAAAGTAAGAAGAGATACTATAGCACGTCACAGTTATAGAGGGTAGTATTTCTGGCTTTAATTAGGGACATTTTAGCACTATGGTGGCGTCAAAAAAAAACTTGAGATTCAAACTCAAAAGTTGCAGGTAAAATGAGTAAGAGTTTGGGAAATTACTTTTCCATTCACTGACTAGATTTTATTTCCTACTTCAGGTTACACTTTAGAAGATGATGTGGTGAGCTATTTTCTTGAATCACTTCATTCTGTATAGTATTCGTATACCCACAATGTTGTTCGGGAGGGTGTTTCAGAATTTCGACTTAGCGACACTCAAATTTCAAGTCAGGATGATGAGCAGCTTAGATAGTAACTTGCAAGTAGCACCTGTCATATTCTGTTCCATGTAACTGTTGGATATAGAAAGATGGAAGGTAAGGTACAGGGTGTCTCATCACTTGTATTAATTATTCTGATTCTGAATATTTGAATTAATCCTAATTAACCAAGATGAATGAAACTCAATAGTTTGACTATCACATTGGAGAACATCTATCTTCCCATCACATCTATTCTCCTTAATTGTACCTTTCTCTTCTTTCTGACCCTCTCTTTCAAAGTATGCTAGACAACCAGCACAGTGGGTCAGTGGTTAGCACTGCTGCCTCACAGCGCCAGGGACCTGGGTTCGATTCCAGCTTTGGGCGACTATCAGTGTGAAGTTTGCACGTTCTCCCCATGTCTGCGAGGGTTTCCACCGGGTGCTCCGCTTTCCTCCCACAGTCCAAAGATGTGCAGGCTAGGTGGATTGGCTATGCTGAATTGTCCGTAGTGTACAGGGATGTGTAGTTTTAGGCGGAATATAGTGGGATGGGTCTGGGTGGGATGCTGTGAGGGTCAGTGTGGACTTGTTGGGCCGAAGGGCCTGTTTCCACACTGTAGGGAGGGATTCTATGAACTAGGATTGAATTTATCTTGGAGAGTCTTCTGAAACATCATAAAGCTCTCCAGCATTTTTCCAAGACTGTTGCTCTGATCAATGTCCTTCTCCCTGCATGCACAGCATTCAAGCATGCTTTAAAAATAGAACTTGTTGTAGTCTGTTCTAGGGTTGGGATTTATCACACAGCACAGAATTGACTTCGAGTTCTTGTTCAACATTGTAGATGAAACAGTGTTAAGTGAATTACAGTTTCTCATTTTCACTGATATAACAGCTGTAGAAAAGTTCTGTAGAACCATTCACATTGAAAATAACATCAAAACATCACATTCTTTAAGTGGACATAATTTACATTCCTGCATTTGTAAATAAATTAGCTTTAAACTAAATTTAAAAGTATTTTTAAAGTGTGCTGTCTCTTTCTCTTCTTACCTCTGGCTCACCACCTCTCTCGCCACCTATTCCTCTGACTCACTGCTTCTCCTGCTCCCCATTCCTGTGGCTTGCCACCTCTTCCACTCCCTGCCAGTTGTGTTCACCAACTCTCCCTCTCACCTACACGTGTTGTGAGCAGTATCAAGTTACAGAGATGAATTACAAGCAAAGAGGCAGTAAGGGGGAATGTTGGCAACAAGATTCAAGGTCAGCCGTGACTGGCCGAGTCAGCAAGAGGGAGATGATACTCTCAAATGACTCGCTCAAGTCGAGCAACTTTACTTCAGACCTAGTGCAAACGATGTTGAGATGAAACTTTCACACTCAATACAAATAAGGGTGCTGATAACTGATCGAAGTTGAATTAGAATGACTTCAAATAGGGAATTTTTTTTATTATTCACTGATGGGATGAGGGCATTGCTGGCTAGGCCAGCATTTATTGCCCACCCCTGATTACCCAGAGGGCAGTTACAACTCGACTACATTACTGTAGGTCTGGAATCAAATGTAAGCCAGACCAGGTAAGGATATTCATTGCTGATCTGAAAATCCTCAACTCCACTTTCCTGCCTTTTCCCTAAACTCTTGATCCCCTTACTGATCAAAAATCCGTCTATCTCAGCCTTGAATATACACATTAAGATTCATAACATTCTTAGAGATTAAATTTATTTTTATCTCTGTCTTAAATATGTGACACATATTCTGAGATTATGCCATCTGGTTCTCAACTCTCCCTCAAGGGGAAACAACCTCTCCACATCTAACCTGTCAAGTCCCATAAGAGTCTTGTACCGTTCAACAAAGACAACTCTCATTCTTCTAAACTCATAAAACCGTCCCTATGTATCCTGTATCGGCCTAGTGAACCTTCTCTGGATCATCTTCAATGCCAGTATATTTTCTGTTAGGCAAGGGACCCAAAGCTGTTCACAGTATTCCAGCTGTTGTCTGACTAGTGCCTTGTATAGTTTTAGCAAAACCCCCCCTACTTTTATACTCTGTTCCCAAAGAAATAAAGGCCAGCATTCCATTTGCCTTCCTTATTACCCACTGAATTTAATGCTAGCTTTTGTAATTCATGGACAAGGACTTCCATTTCCCAGTGTGGAGCTGGAGGAGCACAGCAGGCCAGGCAGCATCAGAGGAGCAGGAAAGTTGCCGTTTTCGGTCGGGACCCTTCTTCAGAAATGGGGAGGGGGTGGAAAGGAAGCTCAGAAATAAATAGAGAGAGGAGGGGTGGGGCTGGGGAAGGTAGGTGGGATGGTGATAGGTGAGTGCAGGTAGGCAGTGGTGGGGATTGGTCAGTGAGCTGGGAGGAGCGGATAGGTGGGAGAGAAGATGGCTAGGTTGTGTCAGGTCAAGGAGGCGGGAATGAGAGGGAAGGTTGGTCATGGGATGAGGCTGGGGGAGATTTTGAAACTGCTAAAATCCACATTTAGGCCATTGCCTACAGCGCAGTTCCTCCAGCTCCACACTGTGTTATCTCTGACTCCAGCATCAGCTGTTCTTACTATCTCTGACTTCCATTTCCCTCTTTTGTAGCTTTCTGCAGTCTTTTTCCATTAAAATAATACTCAACTCTTCTTTTCTTCCGGCCAAAATGTGTAACCTCATTTTTTCCCATTGCATTCCATCTGCCAAGTTTTTGTCCATTCGCTTAATCTGTCTATATCCCTTGGCAGACTCAGTATCATTCTCAACACTTGCCTTCCTGCCTATTTTTGTCAACCCAAAGCTGGCTGTAGTACATTTACTCATACAAGTCATTAATATGTATTGTATTATTACTACTTATTCCTTTTGTCTATAATTCTTCTGTTGTATCAACACCCCTGTGCTCTGTACACATTAGGCTACTTAATAAGATTGAAGCCCTTGGTGTTGGAGGTAGTATATTAGGATGGATAGAGGATTGGCTATCTAATAGAGATAGAGTTGTGATAAAAAGGGTATTTTCAGGATGGCAACTTGTAAAGGGTGAGGAATTTTAAAGCAGGAACTTTAAAAGAGTTATGATCATAGTAATATTGATGAAATCGAGTTATTGGACTAGACTTACTAAATATTTTGTTCTTCTGTTAAAAATCACTGTCTCAAAATTCAGAAGTATCATCTTACAGTATATTTCAAACAAAATAATATATTATGAATTGCTATTCTGAATTATTGGATTTCCCCAAGTCTGACAAAATTAAGGTCTCCTGATTTAAAAACACTTCAAAATGATAAATCTCATTGGATGTTTTATGAAGCCTTATTATTTACAGCTAGTTTAGGGTATTGAACTTCTGTAAAATTTGGTCCGCCCTATATCATTTTTCTCAGCGCAGATCTCTATTGTTGAAATCCCTTCTTAATAACCTTTTTTCTAAATTGACCCCCAATATCCAGAGGCTGTTTTGTTGGCTGCATCAGTGTGAATTATGAGTTGACTTGTACTGTAAATTGCTACCGCAATATTCTTTTACAACAATTTGTCTTTGAAGTCATATTACTGTTGCAATTACTATTGTTATTGATGAGCAAAACTTAAAATTCACAGTATTTTCACTTAAAAGATCAAAATAGATCATTCTGTGACGTCAATGTTACAAATAATATGAAGTCAGAAGTCCCATGTCACCAGGTTATATTCCAACAGGTTTATTTGAAACCTCAAGCTTTTGGAGAGATGCTCCTTTGTCAGAAGACTTCACCTGACAAAGGAGCAGCGTTTTGAAAGATTGTGATTTCAAAATAAACCTGTTGCTATAAGTTGGTGTTGTGTGACTCCTGACTTCGTCCACCCCAGTCCAATACCAGCACCTCCACATCACGAATAATATGAGCAGGATTGCAATTGCCATTTTTGAAATTACTTCACAAAAGTTATGTCATAAGTAAATATTATTTAGGAAAGGCTGAGACTCATGAATTGATATAAAGTGAACATTACATTTGTTTTGCTTCCAGGCGCACAATCCTTCGGTGTGGACATCTATGCCATTAGAAAGAACTAGTGATAACTCAGTGGTTTTTCAGTCATTGTGAATGTATAACATTAGTTTCAAATGTTAACAGCCTTTTGCATATCAGTTGTCCACTGGCTGTTGTGGTGTCCCAATGCCAAAAATAACTTTTGGGCATGATCTGGTATTTTGATATAAAGGCATTATTTTAGACCCTGAAGGAATCTAGGAGTGCAATTAGAATGATAAAGGATTGGCACTTCAAAAGCTGATGAAGTTTATATTATGTAACTTTGCAGTTTTGACAAGAAATTTGGCTGCATTTCATATCTTTTTTTCACTTTATCTCTGCAAAGAAAGACAATATGCTTTAAAGCACTGTATATGGCATTTAACCAAAGTTGGAATTTATTTAACTTCAATGGAAGTTTTATTCTTCTTCATCATGATTATTTGTTTCACCTAATAAGGATTGTACACATGAAGTTAATAGACGAAGTTTACCATTGAACTGAGGGATGCCACATAACTTATTGACCAAATTTATTTGGAATAAGTGCTTATCTGACTTCTTTAAGATGCTAAAATAACATTAAATTTGTACAGTGAGTCTGCAGTAGTACCCCAAACTGCTGCATGCTGTTTGTGCTCCTCGTATATAATTGACCTTTTGATCAAAACAGAAATGTAATGAAGGGTGTGTGTGTTGTTTATTAGCACAAGATTCTTGTAGGTATATTTATTCAGTTTAATTCAGTTTAAATTGTTCACTTATGAGTATAGAATTTTTCTTCATCTGAGTTCTCCTCCCTGAAGGCACCTAGCATTATTGCAGTATTGTTCAAGTGGCAATGGGAACTTTCAAATAGTTTTCTCCGGCGGCCATTTTTCACTCATGAATCAAGATGTAGATGAAAAATAGGCCATTATATAAAGCTGCTTTTAATATATCCAGAATTTCACACAAGGTATGTCTTTAAGATTTAACATTTTTAAAATGTCCTTCAGCACTGATTTGCAGGGATTCTCAACTGCAGTCTGCAGAAAGTTTCAAAAATGTCACCAAAATAATCCGAGA